TGGTTGCCATTATCATATCTGAAAATCTGTTCTATAAGCTGTTAAAAAAAAAAAAAGTAAATTTGTATGTTTAAACTGAGGATGGCTCAAGTAGAGCCAAAACATTTTAAAATAATTTTTAGTAACCAAAAATAGTAGTGATGGTCTATTTAATTATATCATTAATAACCAATCAAGACAATTATCAAGAATTTCATTGATTTATATTGATCAGAGTGTTCTAGTTCATGTTCTAGTTCTAGTTCATGGAATTTATTATTGGTCAATTTTGAATTACTTTAACTGCAGCAGCTTATCTCCATAAATCAAAATTTTTCCTTGTTGGATTCAAACTGGATACATTTCATGTCTTTATTACATCTATATATGATTCAGAAATTTTAAAAGTAAGAATTATTCAATAGAAAATCAATAATATTGCTCTCATTCCCTCTCATTTTATTACATATTAGTCCTTCCTGAAAGTATATTTGATCTTACTGATTTGTCCCTTCTTAGATAGTATTTTTGAGTCACCCTTCCAAACAAGGAAGGAAAGAAAAACTTTCCATTTATTTTATTTATTTCTTTGTTAATATGTACTACTATTATTATTATTTTTATTACAAAATGTGTAGAATTGTATTTGCCTAATGAATATAAATGTTAAAATATTTATTAGTTATCAAATATGGCTGAAATTAAAAAATTGATCCATTTTGCTTTCATTGTTAAAAAAACCATTTTACAATTAAACAAGTGATGTCAGTTTGTCTATTGTAATTCTTATCCAAGCATCTTTTTATTTTTTCATTTTTTCTCTTACTCCATCTTTTCACTAAAACTCCAGTACAGTCGACCCCCCTATAATTACGATTCCTATAAAACTGCGAAAAAATTGTGACGGTATCCGTAAAAAAAGGTAAAAAAAACTCCTATAATTACGTAAAACGTCATTGGGCAGCCGAACTACTTTCCCGCCGTCCATAGTGCCACACTACGGAGAGATTTCTATCGTCTGGACAATATTATATAAATTATATATAAATTAGGTACTGTACATATAATTATATATAAATTAGGTACTGTATATATAATTATATATTAACTTATTGTAACTTTATTATAATTAAATATATAATTTCCGCCATCTAGCGTGGCGCCACGCTACGGAGATTTTTACGCTAACTATCGTCTGTCAGTATGTAAATTAGGTACCGTAAGTCTAATACAGTACTGTAATTTTATACATTTCTTGTGAAAGAAACATTTCTTATTCAACGGCGATTAAAATTATTTATATTAATGATGTCTCCGAAGTTCAACGAAGTTTTCGCAGAAAAATAAGTTATCAGAAATCGGCCGTGGTTTGGTGTGCTGCTTCGCGACGAAAACAAGCTTTAGCAATGGGGTTGTCGAATGGTGCATACTCGGTAAGTAATCCTACAATTTTTTGTTTATAGCGTAGTTTATACGGATTATTTCCAAAAAATATATACGTATTTTGGAAATGTTGAGTCGGATTAGTCTAGAATCGATTAATTTTATGGAAGAAAACCTTTCAATCAGCCGTAGTCCGTAAACTTGACACGTGTCGGGCTGTGATTGGAAGGACTCATTAGAAATCGAATTCCTAAAGAATGGAACATATCTATGATCTTATAGGGGGGTCGACTGTATTTGTAAGTGAATTCCTAATTTAAAAGTGCACAAAAATCATGAGGAGAAGTTGGAACTATCATTGAAACATCTATAAAAATATTTTTGGAATTTGAAACGTTTTTTCATAATAGTTTAGAAATTAAATTATAATAGTTTTAGAATTCAAAAGCTGTTTTTCTCTAAATCTTTTGTCTTATTTTTCATTAAAAAAACCCCATATCATGTCACTACATTACATGAATTTTTATCATCATTCTGAAGATATTACTGTAATTTATACAAAATTATTATTACATCCACATGCAACAAGACATTATCATCATCTTTTAGTCTAAAAAAAAAAAAGGTTGAAAGAAATTTCTACTTCATTTATAGTAAGTGGTAATCAAGTATGCAGCACTGTTTCATCAGTTGGTAACTTTGTATGAAGTTTTAAACATTATTTCTCTAGCTTAACAAAAGAGTATAATTAAAATAATCTTAAAAAACAAAATTATATATTAATTTTTCATTATTTCTACTTTGTAATATTTTTCATTAATAGAGTAGGAACAATTTATAAATTTTCATGTAACTTAAAGTTATATTTTCATACAAAAACTTTTAAAAAATAGTTATTCATTGATTACAATAGTATTGTTAAATTGTTCATATTTTTAAAAAATAATTCCTTCTTATGAATAAAAATAGTTTTAGTTAAATAGTAAAATAATATTTTTATTCATACTTGATCAATTTGTTTTTCCATCCATTCTTCTAAGACATCATCCTTTAAGAACCAAACATGCTTCTCATTTTCTAGATCTTCACAAACAGTCATATTTGTACTTTTATCATATGCTGCATTATGTGAAGGTATTACATTTTCACTTGTAAATAATATATGGCGACATTTTCTACACTTAAATGTTGCTTCGTCCATTCTGTATTAACTGTTTTCACATTCAAATGATCACAGTCATAAATACACCTATAAATAATATATTAAAAATAAATATATTAATCCTCCAAGAAAATAAGACTTCATAGTTCTTTTACTCTAAAATCAATAAATTTCATTTATGTAATTTTTGTCAAAATAACTATAAATAGCTATATTTTCAAATAAATTGATGTCTACACTTATTTAAATGACTTGTTCAATTTGTAAAATATAAAATTTCTAAATCATTCTACACAATAAAATAATTTTAAAAACTATCACATCTCATAGAACAATTTAGAATCTTGATAATATACCCGATAATTAAACTGCTGCTTTTATAAAATAAAAAAATTTCAATCAAAATAATTTTGTTTATTATTTAGAAATTATAATCAAGCCTCAATTTAGTGTCACCATTTATTTCTCCCCTGAAATTGGCATTAAATTGAGTATGGTGCTAAACTGAAGTACTTCATACAATAAGAAATATACATTTAATGAGGGTTATGAGTGTTTGGGTTTGAAAGTTATGACCATGTTTGCAACATAAAGTTGTACATTTTAGTGATTCACAGACACTGACGAGTTCTCTATTTAGTATTTTTGATTAAGATCTGTTCACAAATATTCATTGGCACTTTACAAAGTGTTAACAAATTGGTGCTGTATAGCAGGGTGACATATTGAGATTTAACTGTATGTATTTATTTCAAAATTAGTATGATACATAATTGAAAATTTACATCATCTATTAAAAAAAAAGAAGTTACTACATATAAAATATCTAAATTCAAATTATCTATATCTTTACATAGTTTCTATCTATTTACATAGGAATGAAAAAAAAATATTTGTTCAGTATAAAATCATTATTTTTGAAATATTCATTTTGATTGTTAACAAACACAAATATATATTTTTAAATAAATGCTTTTCTGAAAAGGATATATTAACATTATTATTATTATAATTAGAAAGTTTTACTCAATTTATTACATATAATAGTAATTTGATTCAAATTTGTATTTACAGTAGAGAGGTTGTGGCTGACATTTTCATAGCAAAAACGTGTACGTCGTACGTTCAGCGCCGCCTTCCTGTAAGCCTAGAAGTTTGACAATGGCATTTGATATGTCGAGCATAATTCCACTGACATTCCAAACGCCATTGTCAAACTTCTAGGCTTACAGGAAGGCAGTGCTGAACGTCCGACGTACACGTTTTTGCAATGAAAACATCGGTCACAACCTCTCTAGTATTACAGAATTTTCTTCTTCTTCTCAAATTATTAAGATTTATAATTTAAAAATTTCTGATTTGCTATACTTGAAACACTGTTGAGTAACTGTTTTACAGCTTCAATGATCAAATTAATTTTAATTCATCAAAAAACTTTAATACAATTACAATATGCAATTTAGCTTTATATTGTGATTATAGTATTTTCTCCGTGTATAGTACCATATAATTGAAAACATTTAATCATCTAATATGTATATATTAGATGATTAAATGTTAAGTGAGAAATTCTGAAATAGGAAGAATGCAAATGTGAAACAGAAATAAATAAAATATCAATATAACAAAAGAAAATAATTGATTCAATATTATGACGATGAAAACTTTAAAAATAGCATCTCTCATAATTTGAAATATTAGAACTGTGCCAATAGACAAGGCAGAGAAACAATTGCCTCAAACATCAAATTGAAAAGGATATAAAAAGATACCATAATGCCAACAGAAATATAAGTTCTTAGGCTTGCTTTAAGTTCCAAAATTTTTATTCAGAAAAATCCCATTACAACCCAAAATAAAAGAATCAAACTCACACTACACATAACATATATTTATCAAACATATAGCATTTCAAAGCATTTATATAATACTGTACTAAACCTATTACCTATCAAAAGTGCATCGCTTCTATTAAAATTTTACAGTTATCCTTTTGTTGTACATCTAAACGTCTTTAATTTACTACTATAATCAATAACAAAAAATATACACAAGACAGACAAAACAATTCCATATGGATATAGATTTAAGTAAGTCAACAAGCCCAAATCTCATTTATAACATTACCAAACCTTTCACAACCACAAAAAACTTTGAAATAGAATAATTATTATTATTTAATTCCTTTAGACTCAAGGTTGTATGAACTGGTAAACAGCAGAAGAAATACCTGAAAAAAACTTTAAAAATTTTATTCTTATTGCAATAATTGTGTTTTTAAGAAGATTAACTGATGTATAGTCTAGTTAATTTATGTAATACTTTTAAATTATTACATATATTAGAATTATAACATATTAATTATAAAATTTTTACATATATTGAAAGAAAATATTTGCAAAACTTCATAAAATAATTCCTTCTTATGAATAAAAATAGTTTTAGTTAAATAGTAAAATAATATTTTTATTCATACTTGATCAATTTGTTTTTCCATCCATTCTTCTAAGACATCATCCTTTAAGAACCAAACATGCTTCTCATTTTCTAGATCTTCACAAACAGTCATATTTGTACTTTTATCATATGCTGCATTATGTGAAGGTATTACATTTTCACTTGTAAATAATATATGGCGACATTTTCTACACTTAAATGTTGCTTCGTCCATTCTGTATTAACTGTTTTCACATTCAAATGATCACAGTCATAAATACACCTATAAATAATATATTAAAAATAAATATATTAATCCTCCAAGAAAATAAGACTTCATAGTTCTTTTACTCTAAAATCAATAAATTTCATTTATGTAATTTTTGTCAAAATAACTATAAATAGCTATATTTTCAAATAAATTGATGTCTACACTTATTTAAATGACTTGTTCAATTTGTAAAATATAAAATTTCTAAATCATTCTACACAATAAAATAATTTTAAAAACTATCACATCTCATAGAACAATTTAGAATCTTGATAATATACCCGATAATTAAACTGCTGCTTTTATAAAATAAAAAAATTTCAATCAAAATAATTTTGTTTATTATTTAGAAATTATAATCAAGCCTCAATTTAGTGTCACCATTTATTTCTCCCCTGAAATTGGCATTAAATTGAGTATGGTGCTAAACTGAAGTACTTCATACAATAAGAAATATACATTTAATGAGGGTTATGAGTGTTTGGGTTTGAAAGTTATGACCATGTTTGCAACATAAAGTTGTACATTTTAGTGATTCACAGACACTGACGAGTTCTCTATTTAGTATTTTTGATTAAGATCTGTTCACAAATATTCATTGGCACTTTACAAAGTGTTAACAAATTGGTGCTGTATAGCAGGGTGACATATTGAGATTTAACTGTATGTATTTATTTCAAAATTAGTATGATACATAATTGAAAATTTACATCATCTATTAAAAAAAAAGAAGTTACTACATATAAAATATCTAAATTCAAATTATCTATATCTTTACATAGTTTCTATCTATTTACATAGGAATGAAAAAAAAATATTTGTTCAGTATAAAATCATTATTTTTGAAATATTCATTTTGATTGTTAACAAACACAAATATATATTTTTAAATAAATGCTTTTCTGAAAAGGATATATTAACATTATTATTATTATAATTAGAAAGTTTTACTCAATTTATTACATATAATAGTAATTTGATTCAAATTTGTATTTACAGTAGAGAGGTTGTGGCTGACATTTTCATAGCAAAAACGTGTACGTCGTACGTTCAGCGCCGCCTTCCTGTAAGCCTAGAAGTTTGACAATGGCATTTGATATGTCGAGCATGATTCCACTGACATTCCAAACGCCATTGTCAAACTTCTAGGCTTACAGGAAGGCAGTGCTGAACGTCCGACGTACACGTTTTTGCAATGAAAACATCGGTCACAACCTCTCTAGTATTACAGAATTTTCTTCTTCTTCTCAAATTATTAAGATTTATAATTTAAAAATTTCTGATTTGCTATACTTGAAACACTGTTGAGTAACTGTTTTACAGCTTCAATGATCAAATTAATTTTAATTCATCAAAAAACTTTAATACAATTACAATATGCAATTTAGCTTTATATTGTGATTATAGTATTTTCTCCGTGTATAGTACCATATAATTGAAAACATTTAATCATCTAATATGTATATATTAGATGATTAAATGTTAAGTGAGAAATTCTGAAATAGGAAGAATGCAAATGTGAAACAGAAATAAATAAAATATCAATATAACAAAAGAAAATAATTGATTCAATATTATGACGATGAAAACTTTAAAAATAGCATCTCTCATAATTTGAAATATTAGAACTGTGCCAATAGACAAGGCAGAGAAACAATTGCCTCAAACATCAAATTGAAAAGGATATAAAAAGATACCATAATGCCAACAGAAATATAAGTTCTTAGGCTTGCTTTAAGTTCCAAAATTTTTATTCAGAAAAATCCCATTACAACCCAAAATAAAAGAATCAAACTCACACTACACATAACATATATTTATCAAACATATAGCATTTCAAAGCATTTATATAATACTGTACTAAACCTATTACCTATCAAAAGTGCATCGCTTCTATTAAAATTTTACAGTTATCCTTTTGTTGTACATCTAAACGTCTTTAATTTACTACTATAATCAATAACAAAAAATATACACAAGACAGACAAAACAATTCCATATGGATATAGATTTAAGTAAGTCAACAAGCCCAAATCTCATTTATAACATTACCAAACCTTTCACAACCACAAAAAACTTTGAAATAGAATAATTATTATTATTTAATTCCTTTAGACTCAAGGTTGTATGAACTGGTAAACAGCAGAAGAAATACCTGAAAAAAACTTTAAAAATTTTATTCTTATTGCAATAATTGTGTTTTTAAGAAGATTAACTGATGTATAGTCTAGTTAATTTATGTAATACTTTTAAATTATTACATATATTAGAATTATAACATATTAATTATAAAATTTTTACATATATTGAAAGAAAATATTTGCAAAACTTCATGTTAAAAGCATTTTTATTTACAAATTAAATGTAATTGTTTATATTTAAATAAAAATAGAAAAAATTAACTCAGCTGATTTTCATTAGTCTTAAATACCTTTATTTATTCTCTATTAATTATTTGTTTTGTATAATGCATACATCATTGACATAATATGGTGCATTAAATGCAATTCTTTTATATAAATTAAATATTTTAAATATTCTCACTTTGTAATTACAAATAGCAAACTTTCCAAAAGTTTTCTATTTCAGTATCGGCGCCCTCTACATATGTTTACGATTTTGATAACATCAAATTAAAAAATATAAATAAATGTAGATTTTTAAAATAAATTTAAAGTTTTTCAATTAAAGAAATATTTTTATATAAAAATTAAATATTTTTAAATTAATTTCTATAATTCTTATTTTTCAAAATGAACTTTTTTTTTAACTCTTTCCTCTCTGTAGGGCACTAAAAGTCTCTTTAGCAAGCCCATTATGGGTTCGGCCAGAACCACAATGGATGGATGGGTTCTGACATATCCGGATGGATCGCTTTCCAAAAATTCCTGGGGATTTTTTGAATCGTCCGGATTCGATTCCGGGTTCCCTAGGCGGTGGGCTGCCACCTTAACCGCTCGGTCATCCGGCTGTTTTCAAAATGGACTAAAAGTGTAGAAATGTCATTTCTGCTTTGATGTATTAAGAAGGAAATTTTTATTATATTCGTTATGGAGATTTTATTAAAATTTCTCAATTTAAAATTTGCGAGCAAGATCCATTCGCCGGTGAGAACACCGGCGAATGGATCTTTGATACTTTATGACGTTGACACTTTATAAGAAGGCTCTATATCGAGTTAACATGTCTATAACAAACGATTGAAAAAGCTGCTTAATACAGACTTGAGTTACTTTTTATAGCCCGAAAAAATTCTGTGACGAATTTGTCAGAAAAGGTGTTATTCGTAAAAAGTTGAATAATAAAAACTCGTATTTATCTAGAAGATGCACCAAATACATCGATTGTTGACAGAAATAATAAGAAATAAAAAAAAAAACAAATTTGAAGATTATTTCTTTACATAAGAAATTTTGTCTTCCATTGCACGAAACCAACATTACCCCATTGTTTTAAATAAGGTTTTTTTGTGAGAGAAGTGTTTATTGAACCAAATTCTGAATGAAAAATAAGAAATAAATACAGTATTATTGGAAAAAATAAATGTTTTTCATTTGACTTCGACTATGTAAATTAAACATTGATAAACTTCGAATGGCACCAGGGCCGGCCTTCTCAATAAAGGGGCCCGGGTGCAAGAAACTATTTGGGCCCTACATTTTTTGCAAAATAAAAAAAATTACAAACACGAACATATATTAATGCATGTTTATTTAAAGCGTGATTTTGTTCTTGCTAATACATGAATTACTTCAGGAAAATTATAATTTTTGCAATTTCTTTTTCAATGCTTAATATAGCAATTGCATTAAGCGTTCTGCACACATGCTGGATCGAAATAATTCTTTATTAATTTTAATTTGCTGAAAGAGCGCTCAGCACTTGCTATAGTAACTGGCAACGCAAAGAAAAGTTTTAACACAGTTAATACATTTAGAAATAACTCATTATAATTATTATTTAGTATGTATTGCATATGTCTTGTGTGTTATTTACATCTCTTTCATTCAAAATCAAATCCCGTAGCAAACCAATTTCCTGGAATAGGTTTTCATCTAGGGGAGATCCTTCTACTTTGGGACGCTTTTCTTTAAACCTTTATAATTTAAGTTCAAATTGATCTTTAGCTATGACTATTGAATATTTCTATTAGTAATTGATAACATCATTAAATATGGTGCAACACTTGACCCTATGCTATTTTATTTATGAGAAAATGTCAAATAATTATTTGCAGATATTTGTCCCAAGGTACAATCATGGATTGTACCTCGGGACACCAATGTTTGTA